CTTATAAAGTTAACTCAAGTTAACTCATCATACTGTCTCGACCTTGACTTTATAAAAAGGCAACATTTATCCACCATAAGTTGTTTATTTTCCTTTTATTGATATTTAAATATATGAGGACTTTCCATGGAACTATCGTTTAGTAACATGAAAGTTGACTTTGACTTTTGAGCATCTTAAAACATCCTTTGTGTCTTACAGTTGGCCCTGAGATCAGTCAATTTTGCTCATTCTGCATACGCCGGCTTCGTTTTCTCACCAATGTTCTGTCAACACTACAGCCTTGAATCTAGCCAAGATTTTTGCATTATCCAATGCAAAATCATCATGAAGGTATTCACGAACTGCCAGTCATATACGTTTTATGAGCAATTTACAACATTTGACTTTATTTGTCTTTTAGTCTGTGCTCACCCTTCTCCGGTGTTTGACATCCATTGAACGAAATGTGAAACACTATAAGTGAGTAACACTGTAACCGAGTAATAATCATGTTTTTCTGCAAACATGGTAGGTAACAATTTCTTTTGCAAACATTGCCTTACACACTACCATCACTAGGTGGCATTATGCTGCAAATAACCAACCTGTCTGCATTCGCTTTAGGTCTAACCAAGACCCGCAACCTTCACTTCCAGGAAAGTGAAGCTCTGCAGGCAGAGTTTTGCTGCAGACTTGTGTCCCAACGTGCTAAAAGCACCTGCCAGGTTAGAACCTCAACATTCTATTATCACGTTTAAACCTGCGTGTAGTCCTTCAAACTCCTCAAGAATATCAGACACACGTGCACATTGCCTAAATTGCACTTGTGTCCGAACTTAAACATCTTGTTACTTTCTTTTTCTGCCTTTTGTATCTATTCAAATAATTAATTTGTTAATCAATAGGGCAGGGAATGTTAAATCAGTCCGTGGAGACAGATTGTATTTTGACTAACAGCTTTTATCTGTCAGTCAGCTGACTTGAAACACATACACTTTATGCTGCCTGAATTCCTACCTAACATATGAGCAATTTTAAGACATCCAAAGACACATTCATACATTATTATTTTTCTCTTCACCGTGCAGACTTTTTGGTGACATGGTGATTCACTTTCCACTGTCCCAAGAGGAAATCACTCTGTCAACGACTCCACACAGAGTCAGTTTGAGAAACTACTACGAGGAGGGAAATGGTGAGATGAAAATTTTACACTTTGATTTGGTGACTGTCCAAGGTGGTTAGTGTGTCATAGCGGTGTTTTGAAGATCAACTTTGAAATTTTACTCAGTAATGCAAGTAGGACATTAGAATTCACCAATCCAAACACTAAAAATGTGGATGACCTGTGTAAACTTCTGTCACAGATCACCTGAAGTTCATGTACACAGAGATGTCCATACACCCAGATGTGTTTGAACATTTTCAGGTCGGAGTGGAGTCAGACATAACCGTCTGTTTGAAGGAGTTGAGGGTAACAGGGTTATTTTTGGAAGCTCCAA